AACTAGTGTGAATGATGTTTATTACAAAAATTCAATATTTTTATTTTATCAAAGAATAGTTTGATCGTAAAATTTTTGTAAAACAAAACAAGTTTATTCAGTTTTTGAATTGATGATATTGAAGTGATAGATAATTTTAATCTGCAAAATTAGGAATTTTACTTATTCGACTCGTAAAAAGAATTTGCTAGAATACTCATTTGTTTTTGTCCCCTTATGTTTTATAAGTTTAGTTTATAAAATGTTGATTGGGATTGATGTCTGATATTTTTCTTTTTATTAACTATTTTGCGCAATGATTGATATTGATGTTACATTATCGACTGATTTATACTCTGATAGTTGTGTCGAGAAAAAAGAAACATAGAATTAGAATGATATTCAGCTTTTTATAAAACTCTTTTTTTTTCAATTTTTCAATGCTGCTTATTCAAATGAAAATTTATTCCATTTCATGATTTCATCATTGATTTTTATAAAAAAATAATTATAAGAAAAAAAATTCAATTATTCTATAAATACTAGAGATATTTACAATCTTCTCTTTAAATCAAACAATGAAATTTATAAGTTGCAATACAAAAAAATTTTAATCAACGCATGCTATACTTTGACTTTCTCTCGTGACATCAGAAATATACTTTTGTTAGTTGATGTTGTTTAAAAGAATTTCTAATAAGAAAATGATCCATGAAAATAAAATAACCTTCGAAGAATAAGAAAAACTGCAACGAATTTTTATTGATTTTTATCATAAATAATCTATATTCATGTACAAATTTGTCAAAGATTATTATTTGACAAATCATCATAATATTGAAAATTTTTTCGAAAACATATTGAGAAATTTTAAAATTTCTATTAGTAACTTTTCTATTTATATTTAGCAGAGTATACGACTGATGTCAGATTCAATGAGAATTGACTGTTGTCAATATTAATTTTCATAAACAACATATGGATAGATATCTAATAATATTCAATAAATCTATTCAAGTGAAAATCATACATTCATAATCAAGTTTATGGAATATACTATAGAATGATTTTTTTTTTATTAATAGCATTGTGTTTTTTAGTATAACGAATATATGCCTTGAATTTTATGTATTGATCTAGTGAAAGTGCATGTGCTTTTGTTTACAATGAATTTTTTTGGAAAAATACACAGTTACTCGTTGGTAGCAGTGACTATTGGTGAAGCATCTCAATGTGATTGAATATTAATTTAAAAATATCTTGAAAAGTAATCGTCACTAATGTGGCTTCGAACAATATAGCATGCAGATGTTAATAAAATTATATTCACTTCTTTATCAAAAAAAATCTATTTTTTTTTTACTTTTGTCACAAGCTTTCGTAAAGTAGAATAAAAACAATAGAAGGCATCTTTCATATGCATCTTAGACTACAATCATCTTAGTGAGTAATAATAGTATTTAGAAATAATTGATACTATTGTGACAACAATTGTGTTTGTAGGTATTGAAATTTATATCATTACTATGGACGTGATTAGGAGCATCTATAGTTCAAAAAAATTATATAGTTTTAGATTCATATTTAGAATGAATTTTTTTCTTTCAAGTACTTATTTAATAGAACGAATTTGAAAAGTAGGTTATTGTTGAAAATTAATAGATTTAGTTCTAGTTTACATATTGCATGATCAAAAGACTAAAGCTTCAACGAAAATGCTATCCATGAACATACAAAGTTGTATTAAAATGATGAAACGGATAAAAAACACGTCGGTAAAGTTAGCACTATATTCGCCATTTCGTGTCCGAATTCGCTATGTCACCTGAGTTGATTCTCAATCAAGTTGAGTTAGGTGCAGAATTTTACTCTGAAACCAATGGTACCATTTTCTTCAAGGGGGATCATTGCGGAAAAGGCCAGTTCGGCGCCAAATAGTGCTTTTTCCAAGTCGGCGCTGTTTGTGCTGGATGCCGTTGGGTGTATGATAGAAATAAAAGTCTAAGACACACACCGCGACACCCTCGCTGGATGCCGCAGTCGCATGCACCTACAATCGCACTGATCCTGTGTTAGAGCGACACGCAGAGGTACGCGTTGATCGACGGAAAACTGGGATGAAAGGAAATCGGTGCAAAAACAGCATGAATAAAGCATCAACCTGGAGGATTGAGGACGGTAGGCATGATTTTAATAATAAATCTTCACATGAAAGCATTGATTCACCACTATTGAATCCAATTACACCCTGATAATGCGAATTGCCTTGTTTCGAATATACATGCGGTTCTTGTCCAACAGAAACACTACGTAAAATCAGTATGGGATTTTTACGAGTTTTTTTTTGCATTATGATATTCATTTAGTATCGCAAACATTTGACGAAACTCTAGGATAATGAATGAAAGCATGATTTTTTGATTATTTCTACATAATTTTCTATAGACGAATCGAGATTATCAGGTAATGCGACAAGTATGTATTTGTTCTTAAGAAGAAATGCGACAGCAAAAGAAGGCAATTTTTAATGTTCGTGTTGGTGACCATAAATTTGATGAAGGATCGTTCGAAAAAACAATTCCTATCTGAAATCCTATTAATTGTTGGGAAATCAATTCTGGTAAATTGTTTCTTTGTGTTTTGTCTTGCTGTTATTTTCGAGATTCTTTTCTTAAAGAGGAATTCTCAGTGGCATCGTCTGAAGATATGTTGTGTAGTATTAATTGGCGATTTTGCTTTATGATTTATCTTCTTCGTTTAATGATCGAATTATTATTATATGTTTTATGGCATTGCATGATTTATTTCTTTGCTCTGTTTCAAGTTTTGTTACTCGTCATTATTTATTTTGTATCAGCTGTTTTTGTGTTGACTTGGTGTTGGTTATATGTATAGATATTTTATTATTCTGGTTGAAATGAGTTGGTGGCATATGTATATTGAACGATAATGGTTGATGCTAATTGAAAAATGTTTGTAATTCGGATTGATGTTCATATTTTTCTGACAGAAAATTTGGATGCACACAATCTAGACTAGTGAAACTGTTTCTCTTTCGTACACCTTCATACATATCTTTAAAATGAAGAGGGCGAAGTTTCATTTTGGATTATTTTCGATGTATTTTAACAGGTGTTTTCTTTGAATTCGCTCATCGATAGTGTTCTTTTATCTGTACTGATGCCTATTAGTAAACGTGTTAGATTTCTTAAACATTTAACTTTGTTTTCTTGCGATTATCGATAGCATACAATTACAACAATATCTTTCTTATCAAGCTTAATGATGATATATTCTAGATCAATTTTATCAGAAGTAGTTATCTCTCTTTTTCTGATATCATTTCGAATGTATATCCCAACTCCGTCATGTCTCTGTTTGTGTAATGAATGATAGAAGTTAAATGATGAGAAACGTATCCGATAGAACAATTTTATGTGTATCGATGCACAATTACTTGTCTGGATTAATATTATTAAACCAAGATTTTGCCATACATATCAAATGTCCTTCTGTTGTCAAATGATAGTTTCTCAATGCTTTAATATTTGCCGATATCGCAATGTTGTAAAAGAAGAAAATTCAATGTGTCTGCATTTGTCGAAAACCAGACGGCAATTTCTGCATTAATTTCGTCTGCGATAAGATTTTATCAGCGTTTTTATCCGAGTAAAATCTGTTCCAATCCAAATCCATCCAAAATAAACCATCGATTCTGCGAACACGTGATAGTGCAGTGTGCGGATTCCACAATCAAGCAAATCTTTTAGATTAATTACTACTTCATCTACAACCAAATCTTCTGCTTTGTGAATAGTCATCGCTCAATTTAAAACAAATTAGGAGCAAGCATGACGATGAGCCGGACCAAATGTCGTTGTATCTCATTTGAAAATGGTGCGCGAAACTTCTCTATCACTACTTTCGACAAAAACCAACGACATAATCAAATACATCTTTGGCAATTCGATTACAAACACAAATATTTTTCGTTATTATATTTAGAGCATTTTCAGGTAGTCGCACTAGTACCTGTAATATTTTGCCATTGTGATCTTTTTTCGCTTGAATATAGTCATCTTTACAATAGATATCATTAAATGGGCGTAGATTAATACAAATCTAATCAATCATCTTTTCGTTGCTTAAGTCAACACCTGCGTTTCTTTTTGAGAACAGCTGTAAAGCCACCTAATGATACTCTTTGTTAAGATCTTGCTCATGACATTTTCCCAAAATATCTTGGTCCTCTTTTGCCATTCTGGTCTTCTTCTTTATTTTCCAGACTCGATTAAGTATCTGTGGAAGTATAGGGTGTGGGTGTGAGCATAGCTATTCCCTTCAAGCACACCCACAGCCACCCACAAACAGCCCTTCTGATAGTAGTGGTGTCTTCAAACGTCAACCGACCCCCTTGAAAATGGTACCATCGGATTCAGCGTGAGATTCTGCACCTAACTCAAGTTGATTGAGAATCAACTCTGGTGAGATAGCGAATTCGGACACGAAATGGCGAATATGGTGCTAACTTTACCGACGTATAAAAAACAGATGTCTTTCCAATTTATTGATTAAAAACCATATTCATTACATTTATTTCATTAAATATCCCTACAAATCAATGAATATGATAAAAATCAATTTTTATATCCTCTTCATCTTTTAAAGCGTCATTTGAATTGTTAAGCTCATATATACTTTCATTGAAAACAATCGTACAAACGAACAAGTGATACATATTGACATTCAGAACTGTTATGAAGATGAACAACATTGTTTTTTTCTCAATTAAAAAGAAGTTCATCTCACTTCAAATATGATCAGACAGCTTATCCTTTCTTTTCGTTTGTTGAGAAACTATCTTCTGGAGAGAAACTGCTTCTCAATGTACACTCTATTGATCAAAGAATAATTTCTGAGGCACTCTGGTTTGTCATTAACAGTTGTTTTTCATTATATAATATTTTGAGACATATTTGTTTTTGTAGATTCTAATTCATTGATATAAGTAGTGACGAACAATGTGCTTAGATTTGTTCATATTGTTGTGTTCCTTCGTTTTTACTGATGCAAAACACTTCAATGGAGGAACTATTGGATGGGCTCCTATTAATCCTTATGATAATTCCAGTTCAGTTAAAATTTCTATTACACAGTCTTATTCATGGACATATCCATATATAAAATGTCTCAACAATGTGCCGAGCTCGACCAGTGGATTTAGTAGTGCCAACACTAATCTGACTTGTGTAGTTGATTGTTCAACTGATGGTGGTTATTTTAATGCTCCAATTGATATTCTCACCGATTGTACATCAGCTAGTTCATCAATGAACATGCTAACAAGTGAACGATCAAAAAATATTAGTCTATCTACTGATGCACATTTTTATCTAGCTTATAGAGGAAGTGCTTGGGTAGCATTAAATTATCCTAGTCAACACGGTCTTGACTGGTGTATTGTAACACACATTGATCTTCGTAAACGATCAGATGGTTTCATTAATACTCCACCTGTTGCCAAAGTTGTTTCTCCACAATATGTGATTGTCAATAAGACAACACAAATAAATATACCTGTTTCGGATGCCAATGCTGGTGATGATGTACGTTGTCGATGGTCGACGTACACAACTGGATATCGAAGACGGAAACGATCTAACACGAAAGAACATAACAAGCAGCGATCTGATGTTCATTTTTACAGCGAAGTAACTAATGATAGAGAATCCATTCATATTAGAAACAGAAGAACACATTGTACTAACTGTACTACGTTATGTATCAGTGGTTGTCCTTGCATCTGTTCTACTTGTGATTCCACATGCACTGGTTCGACATGTAATATAAGTGCAGGTTGCTATACGACAGTTGCAACAACCACAATCAATACAACTACTACAGAAACTCCAGGAACACCTAAATCGACTTCGACGTTTCCAATTCGTCAAGCAGTTGACGAATGTGCTGATATTTGTTATCCAAATGGTGTGCCTAATGATACAACTTTGTCCGATTGCACGATCACATTCACAGGCACCAAGGCTGGTGTCTGGTATGCAGTTGCTATTCAGGTAAAGAAATTGCTATCTATTCGTCGTGAATTCTTCAACCGCGATCATAACATTATTTATTTTTATTAAGCAATTATGGCTAATATTATTATATTTCGATGCTTGATTATATGATAATAGTATTCTACTCTCGTTGAGTCACTTTATTAATTAGAAGACCATAAAGAATCAGCCATATCAGATACATTATTTCTTACCGAGATAGATGATTTATACTTTTCTATTAGGCAATAATCTCGAGAAAGAAAGATGTTATGAGTATAAGACATAAGATATCAGATTATTTATTACAAAATCTAATCTATATGTATAGTATAGAATGATCATTTCTTTCTCTCTAGGTTGAAGATTTCATTGATACCACAAGTATGACACCAATGAGTTCTGTACCAGTTCAATTTTTGATTTATGTTCAATCACAACCAGCTTGTTCAATAGACCCTATCATTTTCCCTCTAGATCGTTGTTTAGAAGTACAAGTTGGTGTCTCAATAAGCTTTAATCTATCTGCAATGAATTTATGCAATGCAAGTGTGGCTACACTTACTGATATTAGTGTTTCAAGTGGAATTACTGGTATGAATCGTGGTAATCTTACACGTTTATCAACAAATTCATCGATCTACTATGTTCGGTTTACTTGGACGCCACAGACAAATCAAGTTGGATTGCAACAATTATGTACAATTGCATCTACAAGGTAAAATTTTTCTTGATCATATTTTCATGACTGTAACCTAGAGAGAATTCTTAATGTTTCCGTCGTAGATCATTAATAGATTCAATAAAAATTCTTCAAGGCTTTGCTCGTTTTTCGTGAGAAAACAATTAAATCCTGAAAGAAATATGTAGTCACGAAATAATTAAGATTTTAGTAAGACTTGTAACAATATCTCAGAATGATCTTGAGAGATTTTCCATTGATGCAAATCAGAATTCTGTCAGAATTTCAATGACTTTGAATAGAGAAAGAAACTTCCGTCTATATGATACAAGATTTCGCTGAGTTTTCTGGAAAGTCTTAGCAGATTTCCTCACAGAATATATGCCGGATTTTTTAAATGGGATAGAAAAGAAATGAATGCAAAAAAATTGATATCTAGCCCATGTGATACAACTGGAAGAAAACCGGGTCAAAATACCGGTTTACCGCGGTTGACCGCTAAAAATGATCCGGTATTTGTGACATGGAAAACCATGATTAGGAAAAAGTTCTGGTATTCTAATGGAAACTCATGATGCTTCGGTACCATATCCTTGACATATTCTAAAAAATTCCTGCAGAGATTCATGTTTCTTTTTTCGCAACAATCTATGCAATCTTGCAGAAAGCATGTAACCAAGAAATTTCAAGATCTTAGCAGGTTTTGAAACAGGATTTCGTCGAGGTTCTGAGCATTTTATCACTAGATTTAAAACCGAAAATCACTTTAGGAAATCCAAAATCTCGGAAGACATATACAATCAGAAAATGTCAAAGATTTTGAGAGGATGGATGTTAGTGTGAAATCATGTTATATTAATCCACACCTTCATTCTACTTCTGTATTCTTGTTAAGATCCTCCTCTGATTTAGCTAGTATTCTTGAACGGATCCTCGTTCCAGATTTAAGAACAGATCTTGACTAAATCTTGATAAAGTCTTCATAGCGTCCTGTATCCTATGCCTGTGAGGATTTCAGCTAGGATCGAAAGAAAATTCTGATAAAATCCGGAATTGTTGGTTTAGAAAAAAATCTTGGCAGAAATTTATACAAACTCTGAAAAGAAACATCATTAACAGTGAGATATCCTTCGAACAGAAATTACTAGTATTTGAGATAGGATCTTGGGTAAAATTTGACAAGATCTTTAGAATCGAGAATCCTAACAGATCCTTCCGGGCTTTCTCAAGAAATGAACAGGATTGAGACTAGGGTAATAATATCGTTTTCTTTTTGGTTGATTAGTGAAAACTTACAATCTGATCAATACTGTGTTACATTTACTGTGAAAAACTCATCTGATACTTGTGTAACGACTACAACTTCCACTTCAACTACTACCCCTTCTACAACTACTTCTACAACGACTTCTTCCACAACAACCACTTCCATAACGACCACTTCTGCAACAACATCATCGACAAGTACAACTACAACGATAACTAGCAGTACGACATCAACAACTTCTATGACGTCGACCACTACATCGCTCTCGCAAACTTTTACTAATGAATCGTTCAATGATCTTCTTGTACTTGGACTAGGTCTAGGCCTTGATCTTCCACTACTGCTCTTCCTAAGTATATTGGCTACTTGTCTTTGTTGTCGATGGTGTCCAGGACTTTTCTGGTACGTAGATACATGTTATACCTGCGTTTGTATATTGATTTCATTCCATTTTCTTAGGAGAAAATGGCGCCAGAGGGTTTGGGGAGATGAGCATGTCTACTGCAAAGTATGTCGAACACAATGCGGTGTACACTCACTTGACAACACCAATAAAATGTCTGATGAAGATCTGGGAAACTATCGACGACAGTACATCAATAATAGTTTGCCGAGACCGACGACAGGTTCATTCAATGAACATTCATATCTGTCTAGTTCCCTTTCGCCTTTTGATGTTTCGTCGCAGACAACGACATGGACTAGGTTCATGCCGTCGTCCTCAATTAATGTGATGCCGAACGAGGATACTTCAATGCAAGTGATCCGCTCCTCGCAACTACATCGCCTTGAACCTGGTGGATCAATACTTATGTGCGCTTATGTTGCACAAAAACAAAGAAAAAACAACTTTTCTAATTAATCTATATTTTGGATAGAGTACCAGAGACCGAAAACGAGTCGAGTATTCGGCAAATCGACTCGACTCAACTTGACTAATTCCGAGCCGAGTTGAGTCGAATTAAAGGTTTTAAAATGTGTGTTGAGTTGAGTTTGACTCGAGAGACTCGACTTTTTGAATTTTTTTGTGGCTCTTTCTGTTCTTTCTCAGCGAGAATGTGTATTAGTTTTGGCTTTATTAAAACAGTACAAGGTTGTGGATATAGGTGTGGGTGTGGGTGTGGGTGTCATTCGCCTTTCATACACTCACACTCACCCCCACCCCCACCCCCACCCTTCTTCTTTGATCGATGCATTGTTTGAAATCTATTTGATATGATATTATTTAATAACTAAAAAAAGGAAAAGAAAACATGTTAAATATACATACAATACAAAAAATATATTCTAATATTATTATTATCTTTTTTAACTGGATCGGTATTCCTTTAGCACGTGCTCCACCGTTAATTAATAGTATCATTACAGCTGGTGCTCCTTTTCATAAAAAAAATGCTCAACACAGTAATTAGTGTGTGGAGCATTTGTTGTATGAAAAGGAGCATCAGCTATAATGATACTATTAATTAACGGTGGAGCACGTGCTAAAGGAATACCATGGTAAGATAACGAATATGAAGCAAAATTTATTTTGTTTCTTATGAATCATTATTCAACAGGAATTCATTTTGATTGATGAATATTATTTGAAAATATTTCAAATACGATGATTTTTATCATTGTTGAACAAATTGAAGAAGCAACACCAAACAATTTTCTCTTTATTTGCTAGTAGACTGACATCAATAATAAGAATATATGAAGTGACACATTGACGAGAGTATTTACCGCACCGTTAACTCTCATGTTCATTATTGTATAACAAACACGTTGTGACACATTTAAAGCTCTTTTCACATGAGAAAAAGTGAATAATCTGTCATAGAATCTGAGTTACTCTATTTGAATAGTTTATATTGCAGCTCTATTGATAATTGAATAGCAAGATAACAGAGTGTGGTTGTGGTTGGATGGGGGAAGAATAAATCTAAACCTACTTGATCTTGAGCGATTAGATTTATGAAGATATCTCGTGATTAATGTTAATGACTCAGTTCAACGGACCTATTTTATCCTCCGACTTTTTAAAAAAAAAACAACAACAACAGACTAACGTAAGAATGAGTCAGCACAACAGTCAATTGATCAAAAGTTCATAGTACAGAAGGACAGCTAAAAAGGTTCAAGTGTGATTTGATGGAACAGCTAACTGCAGAATGATTCCCAACATAATTATTGAGAAAAAAAAAGAAATTAATCGAAGATTCATGAATAAAGTTGATATTTACTCTATAGGGAACTTTTTGAAGTCTTTTTTTTTACTACAGATAATTAAATATGAGAAAAACAACAATACATGATATTAAATCTTGTTTTGTTTTGTCATATAAAAAGTGCATTTTTGTTTAAGTTGAAAATAGTGAGATTCAGTAGATAGTAATATCAAAACACAATGTTTTTCATTGTCTTCTTAACATAAATGTTATACGATGAAAGTGATTGCAAATTAATCCTGTGAATCTTGAATGAATCAAATAAATGTTCGATGGTTAATGATGATTCTTTATAATACATTTGTTTTTGCATTAGTCAAAATGGTCAATCGATAAGTATTCATTAAATCGAAATAAGTATTTCAAAAAATTACGAAGAATGAAATGTTTCGAAAGGTATGATGAGAAAAGAAAAATATTGAATGGGAAAAGTTTCTTAGAAAATATAAACTAAACATCGAAGACTATTAGAATGGAATAGTTAAAAACATTATGATTTTGGTGGACTGATTCGATCAGGATGTGGGTGTAAATGTAGAGATTTTCTCTTCATTTAGACCTGCACATGTTTCCTATTTTAACTAGTATTATCTTGATATAAAACAGCTTTGAGTCAGTTCAAACATGAAGATAGTAGATCATTGACTTTAGACTGTATCAGAAAAAAAAAACTATTTTCTAAATCTCTATATGTTCATGGTAGTTAACAATTAGCATTGTAATCAAAATCAATAGGTTTCAAAGTTCTTGACAAATTTTTTTTTTACATACTTTTAAAAAAAATATGCAATTTTACGCAACATAGAATGATCTATTTGAACAAAGTAGAAAAATACATTTTATTTAAATTACGAGTTACAGAATACGTTGAAATAGGATTTGATTGCAATTTCGTTATAACTTTCACATAACTAAATAGATATCTTTAAAACTTAATAGAATTGAATTCATTTAGTTTTATTTTATTTTTCAATTAAATTTAGAAAACTTTTGAGTAGTATTAATATTCATATTCAAAACATTAGAATTAATACAAAAGAAATTTACTAAAGAATGTATGATTCTAACTTAGCTAGAAATTATTTTTTAAATTTGAAAAAAAATTATAATTCTGAGTTTTAAACTAGACGATAATTCATAACAAGCATCGTTTCATAACACTGCTGTGTTTGTCTTTTAATGTTCCTAGTATCTTTGGTTGAAGTATGCCTTTGGAGATGAATCTATCATATCATATCATTTTTTGTTATTCGAATGGATATTCAGTAAATTGAAAAAAGTCAAAATCAAAACGTAAGATATACAACATTGCCTATTTTTACGCAGTAGACTTTTTTCTGTATTCTCGAAGTCTTTGTTTTTTTTTCGTTCTGTTGTTCTTTCGATTTACTATGTGTATGATAATGCGCGTTTCTTATTTCTTCTGGTTTTTTTTATCGTGTTATTAAATGAGATATAGAATGACATTTAATAGTATTAAGTTTCTTTGTGCTCTAAATCTTTTAAAGTATGAAATAGTATAGAAATTTATTGACGAATTAAGTGCACGCAGTTCACTTT